TGACACAATGCAAGAAGGTTCAGAGGAGAAGTGACGCGGTTATGAGAGCCTCATCCCGATCAGTGAGTTAATCACCGATGGGATGAACTGGGTGGTGGTTGTAGGAGGTAGGAGGTGGCTGGAGGAGGTGGGTCCCAGGGGTGTGCCTTTGGGCACATATTGTCCTTGTTGAGCAGAGCTCTCTCTGCTTCCTGGCTCCGTGTCCCCGGCCACGTTCCTCTGCCATGCACCTCCGCCATGATGTCCTGCCTCACCTCAGGCCCTGGGGGATGGAGTCGGCCATCTGTGGACTGAGATCCCTGAGACTGTGAGCCCCCAACACCTTCTCGTCGTTTTTGTCAGGTCTTTTGGTCACAGCAGTGAAGAGCTGACAGAAACAGTGTCACTTCTGTGCCAGCTATGTACTAATTGGTTCTGTCTATTATGAACTTCTTTTCCTCATGAGCACAATGCTGCAAGAGTTAGATTAAATATGGACATTCTGGGGGTTTTGAAGTGATCTTGAAACGACTATTCCTCTGTTCTGTGCTGTCCTATTTATGCAGTTGGAGGAATTGCACCAGGAAGGAATTGCAGGCAAGAAGTGGGTATGTGCTTATTTCACAGTAATCTGATTGGATATTACTCTTGGCAGGTATTCATGGGAGGAGAGAGGAGAGCAATATTTTAAAACTGCTGCGTAAACTGACAATAAGAAACGCACATTCGATCACCGCTCTCTGCTGCAAGACCTTGTGTTTCCCAGACTGTTCTGCCTGGACCTCACCACCCACAGCCAGGGCTGGTCCGCTCCGACCTCTGCTCCCCTGCTCCTACACGGCCACTGCCATTTGGAAGTGGCTGCCAGGTTCAAGGAGGCAGGGACGTGGCTGTGTCCCGGGAGGCTAGCTCAGATCTGTAGCCTGCATTTTCAGGTTCCAGGACCACCTCCCCTGCCCGAGGTCCTCTCGGCACAGCAGAGGGCGAGCCTCAGTGGCTATCTCCTTCTTGGTTCGGTTTTTAGTGGGTGTTTTCCCCAGGTCCTGGTGTCCTGCCCTGCACTGTCCCCTCCTCCCGGCCTGTGTCTGGTGGAATCTAAACAATGACAAGAGTGTCACCAAGCCTAAGACCTTGAACTCTTCAAGCTTGGGCCAACTGTTTTGGAAATCAAAAGCCTTTGTTTCTTTTGCACTTTAAAAGAATATTTTAAAATACATTTTCAAGAGATAGACGGGTGGATCTAAAAAGACATTCCAAATTTTGATTACCAAGATTGTTTCTCAGAGGCTGGGAAGGAGGAATGTCAGGAGAAGGGAAGGAAATCGCGTCCAGATGTGGGAGGAACACTCCCAGGAAATGGGAAGGGTCTCGGGCTTTACAGGAGAGGGTGGTGCTCCAGGTCAGGACTGCCCGCCTGAGGGGCACGCAGGACAGAATCCAAAGCCTTCATGAAGCCAGGCCGCGTGAGACCCCTTGCTTTTCTCCATCTCTCAGGCTTCTCAGAGACAGTGAGCAGATGAACTGGGCCTCTCTGCACATACATGTCCTCTGTCTGCTCTCCTCTCTCGGCTTCCCCCTCTCACAACAGCAGCTGAGGCCCACACCCCCCAGCACGGTGTGCTGCTCCGGCCAGAATTCTCAGGGGAGAACAGGACGCTGAGTGTGTCTGATGCCTCCTGGTTCCTCAGCCCAGTTCAGTGCAAGAGAGTCCTAGGGACAGAAGCCAAGGGCATTTCCCCGAGGGCTTCATCTGTGGCACGCCACGTCAGAGCGGGCACGCGGGGGGAGGTCTCCAGACAACCCGTCAGATGTGAGTCTCACTCAGCGCCAACCAGGGCGCGGAGGCAACTCTGGGAAAGCTGTGTGGGCTGCCCACAGTGAAGACGTGCTCTCGCGACGTCCTGGCACGCTGAATGGGACCACAGGAGCTGGTATCAAGCAGGCTTCAGTGTCCCCAGCTGGAAAATGGGACAGGAGAGCACAAGTTCTGGAAAGATTGGTGAGGTGTTGAAAGGACCCTGGGCTCCTTAGGTCCACCAGATCCCTTGACCCGTGTCACAAAGCCTGTGTGGGTGGTTTCAGAGAGGAGGTCACAGAACACGAAGAACCCGCGAGCATTCCTCAAACTCTGAAATGCATCTCTGAGTTTTTAAATTGAGGGATCATCCTTTGGCTATTTGGGATCCTGAAGTTATGATTTTTTTCCAGTGTGTTCTAACAAAAATCAAGAATGCATGATCCATTTTAACCCTGATCCTTTAAGGCTGTTTTAAAAATTAATCTAGACATGATTATAGAGTGATTTAATCTAGAAAATAATCTGCTACAACTGTTTATAGATTCTGAATAGTTTTCAATTCACAGAAACAGAGCTGATCATTAAAGCCATGATCTTACTAATGATCTTACTATCTCAAGTTTGTGTGCATACACGCATAGATTAGAAACACTTTGTGTCTCTAAAAATAACAAAATGGCCATTTTTTTTTCACAAATTTGAAGTGGTCCGTTACAGGCAACACACATTCTTAAGGAAATCTGAAATGGTCTCGAAGAATATGTTGGCTGGAAATGATAAATGACACAAAAAGTCTATTTCTTTTTGGAAAATAAACCTAAATGATTCTTCTTTACACATAATTGGTGGTTTCTCTTCTGGTTAGGATGCCAGAGTCTGGACAAAGCCACAACTTAGCTGTTTGGTATGAGAAGGTTTTACTTCTCTCTTGGGTCTTTTTTTTTTTTTTTTGCACTTGAATAGCCAGGAGGTGAGCTCAAAGTCCTGAAGACCCTCCCTCCTCTGTGGCATGGGCCTCCTGGGCTGGGAGACTGTCCAGGCCAGGTCTGGCAGTCAGGCTGGGGATTTCCTTTTCTAGTTCTTTTGTTAATTAAGAACAAGTTTTTCTTTCTTGCCTCTAGCTTACCAGAATTTTCCTAAAACCTAAGCACTTTAGTAACTACAGGAGCTAGGTTTACCCATGCATCAATGATAGAAATTCACAATGTGCATTTCGTTTTCCTAAGATTTAAAAATGGCAAATTTCACTGGGGCCATGAGAGAATTCTCACATTGATCCAGGCTATGAAGAAACCCCCATTGCCGCTGGCTGAAGAGTAAAAGCTTGGTTACCTGGACCCGGCCCGGTCCCAGGGCTTCCCTGTCATTAGGCAATATTGAGCTAAGGCTGTCGCCCTCAGGAGCAGCGATAATGGGTGGACTCACCACACCGCATTAGCACCGGCTCTGTCAGTCATGTGAGGAACTGGAGAGGCTGATCCTGCCCCCAAGGCCCCGTGATTGCAACTTAGGCACAGCATCTGGGTTGTGGTCAGTTTGAGTCTCTCCTTCTGGGGCTACCTGTGTGACCCTGGGTACGTGACCTTCATCCTTTGAAATCTTCGGGTGCCATCCTGTTGTGCAGATGTGTCCATCTCCTGGACTGGCGTGCCTCTGGGCTTTCATGGGGAACATCTTCTCCTTTGTCCGGCAGCGCACCCCTCATAGGGACCGCCACCTCTACCACGGTAGCGTCATGATTCTACCCTACAGAATGCTGCTCAGGAAAATGGCACCCGAAAGGCCGGGCCAGCACCAGGGTTAGTGAGAAGGGGAAGGGTCACATTGTCCCCACTGTGGTCTTAGGACCTTCTAATCAGCTGGGGGAACTCTACAAAAGATGGCAAAGGACATCTAACACCACCATTCAAATCTGTCACCCCGGGGTTATGGATGGGAAAAGGAGATGATGGCAGTAACAGAATCCCTGCAGTCAGATCAGCCAGACGCGGCGACTTCCAGACCCTTCTTGGTCCCCGCGACACCTGGGGATTTGGGAACAGACCCCTGGAGCACGGGCGCCTAGCACTGCCTGCTGTGGAATTGGATAAACAGTTTCCGCTATTAGTTGCCTAGATTGCATCTGACACCCAGTTGCTTTTTGAAAAACCCACAAAAACCAGCAGCTTCATACGCACACGTGTTCTGCTCTAAGTCCTAGTTGCTGTTTGCTAAGTCGCATCAGCTAAAGGTCAAAATGATTGTTTTGCTAAGACTCGGGCAGATGGAAGGTGCTAGGGACATCCTGGTCCTGCACTTTGAAATGCGATGTGCTCTGGATCATGGGAACGTCTGCGACTGCTCGCGAGGTGACAGGGTTTGGTGCTCCTGTTCCTTTAACTCAAGCGCTCGTGGCTCTGACCACTCACAACTGCTGACTGCCATTCAATGTGGAAACACACACATTCATAGCTGTTCTAGGGCCAGTGTAACTGTAGAGACACAGCATCCCCTTTTAATCACTGAAAAGGGGGCGATTTGGGTGCCAAACTACAGAAAGGCTCAATTTTAAAGTCAGATTAGAAACTGGATACATCAGAGTCACTGCTCGGGAAAAATGGACAGTACATAATCTAATATCTTTAATTTTATGTACACGGATATAATGTGTGTCGACTTTGTACATGAGATACATACAGAATTTAAACCTTTTACTCAACAAATAAGAATTTACAATAGTAATATGTAAATTACTAGAGGGCTGTCCACTTAAGAATACTTAGATTAGATCTGTCCTTTAACAGCAAAAGAATTTAATAGTTTACAATCATAGAAACACTGACATTTAAAACAAGACTTTATAAAATAATTTATGTGTGTGTATATATATATATATATATAAATCTCCTAGCGTCTATAGAGAGGGATGATTTGCCTTTGTGGATGTGTGCAATGAATGGCGTACTTTAGACTTTTAGGTAATAAAATAATTTAGAAGCAGTTCATGCAGTGGACAGAGCGAGGGGCGGCAGTTTCTCCCAGGCGGGCTGTGTCTTTGACGTCCAGTGATGTCGGACGCACACAAGGTGACCTGGGGCGCTGGAGCAGGTCTCTCTGCTGCTATGTAAACATCAGCATCCCTGGCTCTCCTGCCTTCGGTGGCACAAGCACAGGTGACGACTTCTCTCGGCTGTGGGAGCTGTCAATCAACAGGTAAAGTGACTTGGGGTCCCTCCCGTGGGACCTAGCAGAGCTTCCTGGTCTTGACGACTTTACTCTGGTACTTCACGGAGTGCCCGCCGTGTCCGATGACGTAGACGTCCAGCAGGTAGGACTTGCCGGGCTGCAGACCTCCGACGGTCTCTGTGGTCACCGCCTTCTGCAGGTTCTGACTGTGGAAGTACTTGCAGAGCACCTTCTCCGACTTGGGCCTGGTGTCCGGTCCCAGGCACTGGTTCTGCTCTCTCTTCTTCTGGTCTTCGCTGTAGTTGTCGTCCACCTCTTTCCTGTAGATGCAGAACTTGTTCCTCTCCTGCGTGCCCAGCCAGGCCACTGTGGCCGAGGAGCAGGTGCGGAGCCTGTCAAAGGCTTTGATGCGCGTGTCTTCGGGCAGAGAGGGGAAGGACTGCTTGCCGGGCCTTGTGGTCGCCAGGATCTTCAGCACGGAAGCCCCTTTCTTGTTTCCCTTCAGGCGGACGAGGTACTTGGCTTTAGGTTTTCCTCTCAGCTGGAACTGCCGGATGCCCTCCACATTCTGGGACAGAAGCAGCTTCCCGTCTCTTCTCACCTGCACCTGGACAGCATCCAGGCAAGAGTGGATGAAGAAGGTCACTTTCTGGTGGGAAGAGACAGGAGCAAAGCGGAGAAACTTGGCCCCCTTCCTCTTGACAAACACGTCCGTCACCTTGCCGTCCTTGAGCTCCAGGGTCTTCTGCTTGGCCTCCCCCTTGGTCCTGGCAAAGGTGCCCACGTAGGCGGTGCTCATGTTGGTGTTGGTGTTGACCACGAAGACGTCGAAGTAGTGCTGCGTGTCCGGCTTCAGGTCGGAGACGGTGAAGATATTCTTGCTGCCTATGCAGACTTTCTGAATGTCCGCCTTGGGCCTGGGGTGCACGGGACGGCCCAATTTGGGAGAAGCCTTTGCCAGGAAGCTGCGTTCTTTGCCCAGGTGGTCGGGAGGAAACCCAAAATGGGCAAAGTCGAAGGGGCTAAAGTCGAGACCAGGTTTGGGGACCATCATGAAGGCATCGTCCGCCCCCAGCTTGGCTTCTGCTGCACAGAGACTCTTGAAATTGTGCTCTTTGTTGATGACCACGCAGTACTGGATGGGCTGGTTCAGCAAGGAGGCCGTGGGGCTCGGCTTCCAGGCCAGCGTGACCGTGGTGCGCCCCAGGGAGGTCACGTCCACTCGGGGGTCGTAAGGCAGCTCCGGGTACGGCTGGTCCGACTCTGGAGTTGTGGTGGCGTACACTTTGAAGTGCGTGTCTTTCTCCGTGGAGAGGAGCTCCAGCTGGTACAGACCCGCGGGGGAACTGGAGGAAGCGAAGGACTCCACGGCGTTGCCCTTGTAGGAGAACAGCTCCGTGCCTTCCTCGTGTGTCATCTGCTGCCTCTGCTGCTCGAGGGGCTCGGGGTCACCTGCAAGACAGGAGCAAAGCAGGGGCTACAGGTCACGTGGTCTGTCGGTTCTCACCTGGCTCTCCACGACAAAGAGAGTGCACACTCCTCACAGAGCACTGAGCCGGTGCAGAAGGTGACACAGGGAGCCGCCTCTTCACCGCAGTGCGCTACTCCACGCCTCCTTCTCCTAGTGCCTAAGTGCAGTTGGGGTCACTGGCTCCTATTTTCTCCATAGGTTAGTAACTTTCTTCTCATGCACAAACGGATCTAGAGGAACCACTAGTTTTTGCATCCTGTTTTCCTCCTTCAATTTGATGTCATAAAAAATAATACGGTTGCTTGATGTGTGACCATTACGAATACCACCTTATCGAGTATTTGGCTTGTATGGATGTATTTCTTCAGCACAAAATCTAGTTAGGTATAGATCACCTATAATTTTTTAGGTTACCTATAATTGTTAGGTCCAGAGCTTCAAACTTGTTAGAGACAGTTGATCCTGACCATCAGTCAGCTTGCCCAAAGGCCAGCGCACATGGGTGTGGCTCAGCTCGCCGATCTCACTGTCATCAGCAGGAGTGGACAACCCAATTAAGCCAGAAACTCAAGTACCTGTCCGAGCAGCTGAGGCTCGGTGTCCAGATGTGTCGGGAGTACCAAAGCCACCTGACTTGGCCATCCTTCGACACTGCTGGCACGTGCCAGGGCCTGATGAAGGCCTGACCACCAGCACAGGAGGGAACCTTGGCCATCTCACCGCAGACTGAAAGCCAGACGTGTGAGATTTCACATTCCCCAACTCTGGAAGGACCGCCCAGGGCGGTTAAGTCATGGCATCTGAGGGAGAAACCAAGCCAGGGTAGCTTTCAAAGCCCCCGGGGGCCTACCGTCCAGGGGGACAGCAGGTAGCCACAGGGGCCAGCAGAGCACGCCGGCAGATTCTCCTGGCTCCTTCCTCCTCTCCCTCCTCCCCCTCTCCGGCTGCAGCTTCTCGGGACCCCGGTGCCCTGCTGCCTGGCTGGACCATCTCCCCAGCCCTCACCAGGGCCGCTGCTCACCTGAGCTGTCCCCGCTGCTGTCCTCGGGCAGCTCCTGCAGTCCCAGCCTCCACTCCAAGGGCGCATCGCAGGGCGTCACCGTGACCGAGAGTGGAGTATTGTCCTCTTCAACCACAAAGAAGTACCTGGGGAAGGGCAGACCAGACGCACCGTCAGCAAGTCCAGGAGACCTAAGGAAAGACAGCGAGCCAGAGGAGCCTCCGCTCACGTCACCCTCGACTGCGTCTCAGGGGCTTAGCTGGGTGGCCACCAACAAGGGGGTGACACCAAGCCCCAGTGTGGCAGACCTGTCCTCCTGAGACGCTTGCTCCTGGTTCTACTGTCCACACCTCTGTGGACGAGGCTCACATTTCAGAGACAGTTTTAAAAATGAAGGCCCCTGTCTGACAGTGGGAGGGCGCACCTCTATCTTTCCTTGATCACGGAAACTTCCTGTTCAATTGAACGCATTGATGATTTTAAAACAGAATTTTAAAGACTCGAGGCAAAGTCTTCCCCTGAGGGTTGTTTGCATAATGCCTCAGAAGGTTTTTAAAGGGGAATAAAGACCACAATGTGGCCCAGCTGTAAATGCTGCGTGTCCTGCTGCAGTGAGCCCTAAGGAGCTGCTCCCTGGGTCCACGGCAAAGAAAAGTGGGGTTTCCCTCCTGTGCACAGCGGCGGTGCTGAGGACCCCTCACCTCCCTGCTCTCTGTACTCACCACCCACCTGCTGTCCAACACCTCAGTCCCTCCCCACTGGCTCCCCCTGCCCTCAGGACCCTCACCTCTGCACTGAGCCGGGCTCTGTCTGCACACCCCTTCTGTCTCCCTTGCCCCGTGTGACCTCACCCAGATCGGCTTTCCCTCCTGTGTGCTAACAGATTTGACCTGTCAACCTGAACCTGAATCCAAGGTACAGCCACCTTCTTACCATCCTCTCTAAGACACAGAGTGAGTTCCAGGCCTCAGACGCCCACTCCACGCCTCAGACGCCCACTAAAGACCTCAGACGCCCACTCCAGGCCTCAGACGCCCACTCCAGGCCTCAGACGCCCACTCCAGGCCTCAGACGCCCACTCCACGCCTCAGACGCCCACTCCAGGCCTCAGACGCCCACTCCGGGCCTCAGACGCCCACTCCACGCCTCAGACGCCCACTCCAGAGCCTGGTTCTCTCCCCAAGGTCAGCTTCCCCTGCAGTCCCCCTTGGCAGTAGAGGAGGAGTCCCACCACCTGCCTGTCAGGACAGAGGCATGGAGCCTGCTGACCGTCCCCTCCCCAGGCAGGATGGATCAGCAGACACTTCAGGCTCCACTTGTCAGACAGACCCAGAATCTGACGCCTTGATCCACAGTGTGGCCACCCGGCCAAGTCTCCAGCGCCCCTTGCCTGAGCCTCCTGCTGGCCTCCTGACCCCAGCGACCCTGTGGACCTTCCCTCCCTCCAGGGGCACGATCACCTAAGCCTGTGGACGGCCCCCACTCGGCCTGAGACCCCCGCGAGCGGCTTGTTTCACTCAGAGCACGAGGCCCTGAGCGGCAAGGTCTCCCGAGACCCTCCTCGCTCTGCCACGGCCCCAGCCCCTCGCTGTCCCCGGACACGGGGCTTCCTGCCTGGGGCCTCCACAGTTGAGGCTCTTCCTCCCGGGGCTGGCCTCATCTGCAGACCCCTCCCCGCTCTGCCGCGAGGCCTGACCCATGTCTCCTGGAGACCATCTCTTCCTTGACTGTTCTGTTTTCCACCCACACAGGGTCAGGTTCCCACGGACCCCAGGGTCCTGCACTGGTTCTCTGGGCACCTGCTGCAGTTTGTGAGGACACCCTTTCCCAGAGGCAACTGAGACTTCACTTCCCAGCACTTAGCAGACCTCTGCGGGCTCAGGGCCTGGAAGGGCACTTCCCAGTGAGGGGATCACTGATGAGTGACCTGGCTGGAGAACCCTAGCACCGTGTGCACCTCAGTAGTCCACTTGAGGACGTGCACCCCCGGAATCCCTTCTCTCTGAGGGACAGAGTTGAGTCAAAGTGTATTTTTCCCTCACTGTCCAGAGAGGAATTTGGAGCCAGAGGGTGGGGTGGGCAAAGGGAAAACAAACTGAAGACCCTATAAAAACAAAACAGCTAGTTGTAAAACAGCCGCCAATCAGCCAGAGAGAACAGCTAGATGATTGACCTGCTGACAAGCCGGGAGGTTCATGGACCACTCCCCTCTCTGAAGGGGAGGGTCAGCAGTCTTGATTTTAAGCTCAGCCTACTTTGTGCAGAGCAGACTTTTGATCCTTCGCCCAGTCTGCACCGAGGGCACCAACCACATACCCGCAGCTGCGTCGTTCTATTTTACAAAGAAGCAGATACAACCAAGTAATTTTTCTGGCATTATGCAAGGAGAAGTACCCAAACCTTCCCGCTGTGAGTGGACTCCATTAACCATGGGGCACTGGTGCCAGAGCAGAGTACATGGGACAAATTCACCCCAACCTTCCGTCCTCCTGCTCCCTCTCGTCACCACAGGGAAACCGATCCCCTGCTCTCCCTCCCAGTGACCACCACAGGACAGGGCTCTCAGCAGAGGGGCTGCCTCTGAACTAAAAGGACCACCGCTGCGCCTCGTCCTCCGTGATCTCTGGAAAGGGATCATGGTGGAAGCAGACAGTTTTGTCTCTTGGAATGCCAGGCGAGGTGTCACAGCGTCAAAGGAGAAACTGGTTTTGAAATGTAATTACCCCAAGGTGAACTATGAAGGGGCTGGAGAAGGGCAAAGTGAGCAACTATAGATCAAATCCGTGTTTCCTGTTAACGTGACCAGGGTTAACTAAGAAGCTGAGTCAAGCTGACCCCACTTCTGCCCAGACACCTTACCCTGCTCCCACACCCCGCCCCCTCCTGTAAGAGCCCACTCACCCAGAGGCGGACCACACCCTCCTGCGCCCGGACCACAGAGCTCCCTTTCCGAGTATAGGGGCCGCCAGCCCCAGGAGCCGGTGGCAATGCACTCGCTCCCCCGCCCCTTGCCGTGTGGTCCTTGAGGTTTTGAAGCTTGCTCTCCACCTGAGCCCACCCTGATGCATAACCTAGACTCTGACTTATAAACTTGCAGTTCAGAGGAGGTCTGCTGCCGTTCTCTCTGCGCAGAGAGAGAACACTGTCAGATTTCCTGACAATGAACTGTTTCTGCTGAGCCTTGGGTGTGTTTGCAGTGATTCAGTCTGTGGCACTTCCCTAACAATTGGTCTATTACATAGAATTTATATGATGTATGCACACACATCTGTAAATTCTTAGGGTTGAAATATTTAAAACTATCATGTGAGCCCAATCTATTGATGATGTTGGACTAAAGGAAATGAACAGTATTAATTTTTAGTCACTGTTTGATTTCATTCTCTCAAAATTGGATCATATTTGGTAAACAAACATAACCCTTGTAAACCTCAATGCAAACCCTTGAAGAAACATATATATTCAACGAACTGCATTTTAATCCGACAGTCCTGAAAATGAGAAAATAATCCTCCTGGAGCGTGAAATGGTGCCAAGGTTCCTCTTCCACCCAAAGGAGGCCTTGGTCAGCAAAGATCAGCGGCCTCCCTCAGCCCACCTTGGCCACCCTTCTTTCTCATGGGAGCAACCATCCAGGCTGGATCTGCAAGGCACTTCCCTAGGGAGGAGGCCCCAGCAGCTCACGGACGGACAGAGCTGCGGCAGGGAGGGTACCTTTTAGGTGTGTCTCTGAAGAGATAGCTGCTGATCTCGGCTCCATCTGGAATGACTGATGAGTCGTGGAAAAACGCCTTGTCTCGGATCTGCATCTGGAAAAGCTCCTCATCTCGAGTGGGCAGCTTCTGGGCCCTGGAGCCAAGAGGCAGCAGCAGCCACAGCACACTCCAGCCGAGCAGCACCATCCTGGCGACAGAGAGGCGGCGTAACGTGTTAGTTCTGCAGGCAGCCTTCCCCGACGCCCTCCTGCAGCGAGCACAGAGGTGGCCCTGAGCCACACGTGGGTGTCTCAGTTCCCCGAAAGGCACACACGCTCTGGAAGCATCTGCCCTCTGCTTTTTCCCAACTATTTCATGATGTTGAGAATGAATTCCCCAAAATTTCAGATGCTCAAAGGAGTTTTAGACACTTGGCACATTAACTTCCCACTTCAATTATGGCAGAAGCCACGGTGATCATTACAGGTGGCTTCAGTCTACGTGTAAGGCTTCAACTAGGGCGGTCGTTCAGGGTCAGCCCTCGTAGCTGACGCAAAGCTACCAGAGGTGAGCTGGACTTCACCTTGGCAGTCAAGTTACAACGTGTTGATGTGGTTGAACTATCATTTTCAACATAAGTCACAGAGACCTGTCAAAAGCCAGAAAATTACTACACAGATTATTTTATTCTTCCTTAAAATTTGAAGCTGGGTGTGGGGACGTATACCTGTAGTTCCAGCAACTCAGGAGGCTGAGACAGGAGGATTTCAAATTCAAAGCCAGCCTCAGCAACTTAGCAAGGCCCTAAGCAACTCAATGAGACCTTGTCTCGAAATAAAAATTCTAAACAGGGCTGGGGATGTGGCTCAGGGGTTAAGTGCCCCTGGTACTCCCCACACAAAAGGAAACTTGAGCTGGGTGCAGTGGCACGTGCCTGTAATCCCAGTTACTTGGGAAGCTGAGGCAGAAGGACCTCAGCAAGTTAGGCAGACCCTGTCTCAAGACCAAAAAAACCAACAAACAAAAACACTGGGGATGTGGAAAAGTGGTAAAGCACCCTGGACTCAATCCCTGTACAAAACCCTTGACTGAGGATTCTGAATAGTCTTCTGCTTATTCCATGACCGGATTTTCATATCAGAACTTGTTAGAGATTATGACGTCCAACTCCCTCACGGGTAATCTGTGCAAAATCACAAGGCAAGTTATTAATGACGCCTACGTGTATAGGCCACCAGACTCTCCCACGCCACAGGCACATGTAAAGCCCCACCACGTTAGAAATCAGCTTGGCTTCCACTCGCAGGGCAGCCGGGCCTTGGAGGCCTCACTTCCTAAGGACTTTCACAGAGTTACCCGTCAACAGTTCACCGACTCCCACCAAGGTCTCAGGCCACTCTACTGCTGCGCAGGGGTGCTGCAAGCCCACCTCTCCCCACCTCACCCCCCAGCTGGGGGGGCTGTCAGGAGCCCCAACCAGGTGAGTTCTCGTCAGGTGCCTGCTCAGGGCTTTGTGCCCCTGAGGAGCTGGTAGGTTTGCTCTCAGAGAGAGAGAGCTACGCAGGAACGGTTTTCCTTACCACTCTGACTTAGAGCACATCAGGGAATTCAATCATTAGAGAAATGTGGTATTTCTACACTTTAGTAATTTAAATAGTGAAAAATTCTAATGCAAATCAACATTTGCAGCAATTTGAGATGAGGTGAATGCCAGTTTTATTTTATATAGGCGCTATTTTAGATACAACTAATTAACCTCTACTTAACACATCATTTGACTCTAATTTTGCCTTTCTTTGGATGCTATCAAAAATAGATTCAGACAACTTAAAATATTTTTGAAAGGATGCATTTGTCTCTAAGATGAAAATGTGCAAAGTTGGGCGCAGTGGTGCACACTTGTGATTCCAGTTTCTTGAGAGGATGAGGCAGGAGGATCACAAGTTTGAGGCCAGCCTCAGCAACTTAGCAAGACCCTGTCTCAAAATAGAAAATTGCAAAGGGCCGGGGCCAGGGCTCAGTGGTGGACAAGAGATCCCCGAACTCTACAGAGGGACGGAGCTGCTGAGACTGAGCATGACCCTTCCTGCCTGGCCCCCCAGAAATGGCCTCTCCCTTGGGTACTCAGGGCAGGTGTAAGTGGGAGCTCCTGGTGTCTACAGCCATCAGCAAGGGTCCCGTCCACAAGAGGTGGCCACGCTCAGCTGACCACTCTAAGCAGAGGATGTGATGGGCTGAGCTGGGTGGGTCTCTGCTCACCACCTCTCTGCCCCCTCAGCTCCCGTCTGTACCCTTAATCACATGCTCATAAAAATACCTGTGTTGGCGCAACAAAATCCCTTCTCTGTGTCACACGCACCACGCCCACAATGCCGCCTCCTGACTGCAGAGGAGGACAATTAAAGAGAAGTCTCTTTGGAAACGGTTAGGAGTGGTAGCCTTCTGTGCTCCTGGGACTGTGGAGTGGATGGGTCAGGGCAGCCCCTGCCCTGGCCACTCCAGGACAGCCGTCCTCAAGGGGCTCCACTGTGTCCACATGGCTGTCCACTGCAGGACTGGCCAGCTAAGGGGACCAGTGCCCCAGGAATTCACTTGGTCCAGACCCGAGGAATGCCAGCCACAGAGGCCCCAGTTCCTCAGCGGCCCTCTGGAGAACTTCCTCTCATTACATCAGCCAGTTGCCGGGGATGAATTGTGAGACGATGTGTTAGTGAATGTCACCGTGCACACACAGCCCGCCAGGCACCCTTCTGACTGCTCCCGTGGTGTGCACCCAATGCCCTCCAAGACCCTCTGAGGTGGGCACGGCTATTTTTCTTATTTTAAACATGGGAAAGCAGCATAGGCAGGTAGGGGCCCATAGTAAACACTACAGAGGTGAAAATATGAACTACTCATCATAAATGACTTTGAAAGCCCGGTAAACCCGATCCAGTCTGCACAATCTCCACACAGCTGCTTAGCACTGAATGCTACTGAGCAATTCTGGATGATGGGAGATGCAGAGCAGGGCCCCCAGCCCCACTCCCCATGAGGCTCTGCTCCTGTGCATCCCAGGCACTTCTCAAAGGTGTTTGTAAGGTTGACTCGTCTTTATTGAAATGCTTAGAACTAGGCATGTTTTAGATTTGGGATTTATTTTTATTTTGGAGTTTGGATATTTGCACATACATAATGACGTATCTTGGGTATGGACCCTATCCTAAACACGAGATTTATGCTTCTTATACACCTTATATGTGTGGTCTGAAGGTAATATTATACAATATTTTAAATGATTTTGTGAGTGAGATGAAGTTTTATAGTGTGGAATTTTCCACTGTGGCTCGCTGGTGCTCAGAAGGTTTGGATTTGGAGGCCTTTCAACCTTCAGATCTTCAGGGAACCTTAGCAGAGTGGTCAAAGCTGTCAGATCTAAGGGTGGGCGTGGCTGCAAGCCACCGTGAGAGTTAGAGAGAAGGAGTAAGTTCCGGGTTCTGGTGCCTGTGTCCAGCCTCCCCCACCAAAAGCACACCCTCATTCCTCAAGAAACTAGGGTTGGAACCACCACAGGACCCAGTCCCACTCCTTGGTATTTATCCAAAAAAACCAGTCAGCATTCTACAGCAACATGTCCACAGCAGCCAGACTGTGGAACCAGCCAGGTGCCATCAGTATATGGGTGGATTAAGAAGAAATCCTGGTGCAGACATGTAACAGGGAAAGAACGGAATTACGGCATGGGGATGGAGAATCTCATGCTAAGTGAAACGCAGAGGTCAAGTGTTTCTCCCACATGCAGAAGCTAGAGCAAAATAAAGGACAGGAGAAGGAGAGGGCCCTATAGAGGGAAGACCAGTAACGCAGAAGAATGAGGTGAGTGGCAGAGGGAGGGAGGGTAAGGAGGCAATGCAGAACTAACTCTTCAAAACCCATGTTGTATGAATACATAAATACACCACAGGGAATCTCACCTTTATGCATAAGTAAAAAGAACCAGTCAAACATAAATAGAAGAGCATCAGGGGGGGGGGAGGTGAAGAGGGAGGAGATGGGGTGGGAGGAGGTGGGGAAGGGAGGAGACAGGGGAGGGAGGAGATGAGGGAGGGAGGGGATGAGGGACAGGGGAGATGGGGAAGGGGAGGGAGGGAGTGTGAGCTGGAATCAATTCCACGCATGCTTGAGTTTGCCGGGATGAACCCAGCAACTGTGTATGACTATAAGGTTCCAATTAAACAAAAAAGATTATATTCTCTAAACTAAAATTCCATCAGGTCACACTTTTTGTTTCTGAAACCATCTTAATTAAAGGACAATACAGGCAAAATAGATATTTTTCTGAAAAGTGTTCAGGATTAAGCAGGACCTTGAAACACAAGAATTCAATTTCACCACATTGCAGTTTTCAAAATGTCATCTAATAACATTCAACTGTTGAGGAAAACAAATTCAACCATTAGGGAACTTCAATCATTTGTTCAACTCCATCAGTATACAGGCAGGATTTTTTTTAAACAAAATGCGTTTAAAATAAGCTCCAAACACAACTAACCAAAAATTACTTTGCAGACACACCGTGTATATTTTTGTAACTTGTATTCACTGTACAAAATGGAAGCTTTACTCAGAGATTGTTTAAATGGTGGTTTTAAGATTTTATAGATTTTTGTTCCCTGCCAATAAAATGTTCTCTCTCAGACATTCAGTTTAAGAATCGGTCACTTTACATAAACAATTTATCCTTCCTAAGAACCAGCCTGGTTTAGCAGGTCTATGTGAACAGACTTCTAAGATTACACAGGTGCCCTCTAATGGCATAACTTGGCCTCTGGTTTCTTTTTATTACTTGTAGGTATCCGGAGCTCAGCTAGATTGCAAGTTTAAATTAAATAACATTAACCAGAATTTCACTTTCAGCGTGATTCTTTTTCCAAGGCCATCTGGTGGATAATGGAGGAAACGTCTCCATACAGCAGGAAACCTTCTGTCTGTCCACTATCCAGGCTGCAGCTCAGACAGAAGCAGAGGGAGGGTGGCGCCGGACACTGATTCAGCTCGGCTGCAGGGTCACTCAGCCCAGAACACCCGTGCTGTCAGCCAAGGCTGAGAAGACCAGCTTCCCGCCGGCCTGGAAGGTTCTGTGGACCATGCTACAGAGGCCACCTAGAATTCTGACATTGTCTATACTGTCAAAGCTCTTCACACCTGCCACACACCTCAGGTGCTAC